ATATTGCAACAAACAGAGGAAAATGCAGAAAACAAGTACATACATATATATGTATATCTACGTAAGAAAGCTGTCGTACACGCCTAAATTTTGCAAAATTACCAAAAGTATGAATTCGTCAGCCGCCGAGAGAGAAAGAGTTAAGAAATTAGCAACTTACTAGAGTTTGTAAGCAAATAGCAAACAACAGCGGCGTGCGTGCATAGCAAATTATTGCAGTTATTTTGCTCCTTTTGTTTGCGACTCCGCCACCGCAGCTATAGTACGAGTATAGCAGTGACGACAGATATATTTTGTAATTAAATTTTTGTGGTAGCGGTAAAAGCGTACAACTGTATCGAAAGCAACACCCCAACCAAATGTATGTAGTTCAGTGCTGACGCTTTTGCTCTCACTGGACGTGCATAAATAGAAATGAAAGCACTACCGGGAGTTAATTTTGATGTCAGAACGTGTGGTTTCCGGTTTTGTCTGGTGCTGTTGTCAAAACCATTTCGGCAGCAACAACAATAACCATAACATCATCATCATCTTCATCGAAATAATATGAGGTTTTGATAATGATGTTGCTCTTCTTGCTGCTGCTGCTGCTGCTGCTACTGACAGTTGATATGCTTGGCAAAATGTTGGTGACACTGCGTACATGCGGCAAAGCAAAGCAATGGGAAGTCACATGACGAATATCTATGTACATACATATACTAAGGGTATGTGCGTTATTCGAAGGAATTGATTGAGATACATAGATACATAAATGCATTTTGTTGTTTCGTGTTAGATTTCGAAAATAAAATTATTGCTCTAATTTCAAATACTATATTCATCTACATAAATACTTAAATTGTGAATTCTAGTTTATTGGAAGATAAACTACATTTACATACATACACACATATGCATATCCAAAACGTTAGTATTGTAGCAAACATTTTCGAGAAATGTTCATACGCTGAGAAAAATTAAACCATATCTGCTTTGCTTCAAATTAAAACACATACGGATTTATTTTTGTAGATTTTTTTGTTTGAAAATACGATTTAGTTCTGCACTTCACAGATGCTTTTTCGCAATTAGGTTAGGTTAGGTTAGGTGGCAGCCCCCTTGTAACCGGAGTTCACCCAATACTTAATCGATAAAATGCCATATGACAGCCATAGTACTTCAACCTTAGCCGCGCAAACGCTGGCCACCAAAGAAGGTATTGTTGTGTTTAGGTGATTCCATGCCATCTTCTAGGCAACTGCGACATACGGAGCCCGGTAGTATGTTCAGCCTTACTGCGTGAATACCGATTGGACAGTGACCCGTTAGAACCCCCACTAAAAGTGAGAGCTGTGGTTTTGTTAGTGTGAGTAGTGCCCTGGACCGCCCCTTGTCCACGCTCGGCCAGAAGCACCTTGCGATCGCGCATATCCTGGTTTTCCAAGAGTGTACCACAGATGATCAATGGCACCCCCAGCTGCTCTGTATCCGCCGATAATGTTTCACGAGGGCCTTTCCTGGCCAATTCGTCAGCCACATTGTTTATCGCTATGTCATTGTAACCCGGAACCCAAATACTAATAACCAAGCTAGAGCGCACCCCCAACGCACTCAAGGCTCTGATAGCCGCTTCAATAGCCGGAGCAGTGAATCCACCGTCTCTTTGATAGCAGCCACTTCCGCCTGGAATAGACTGCACAAGCTCAGGAGCCTGAGCTTAGTGTTGATGGAAAGCTCTGGACAGAATACCCCACGCCCAACCCTGCCGTTCACCATTCCTCCTCTCCAGAAGTTTCGCCCGGCCCAATCCTCCCTTGAGTGAAAGTGGGCAGAGAAGAAGCTCTTAGGAGCCAATTAAGAAAAAA